AGGAGGTGAGGGGAGGAGGTGAGGGGAGGAGGTGAAACAAATTGACTGAAACACAGATCCTCACTGTCTCCATGTCTGTGGTGGATCTTCCACCTCCTGCTGGAACAAATTCTCCCTTAACCAGCGCCCCCATCTGGTGACTCGGCCTGAAGCTCCTGGCTCCGCCCTGCTGGCTGCAGATGAAGAACAAACAAAGATTATTTATGTTGAACTTTGACCTTGATCCAGGCAAACTTTGAAGCAACTTCTTGAGGAAACTTTTGGTTGTTTGTTTCGATGTTTTTGGCTAATTTCTAAAGATGTACAAGTTAAAAAATACTTTATACCTGATTGACAACTTTTACAGAAATGACTTTGTTTTAAGTTTTTAGGTTTAATAAATGGAGGTGCTGGTTCCTCAGTTGGTTCCAGGGAACATTTTGTTTCTTCAACACGACAGAGGTTGAAACCTGTAGGTTGACGTTGAATCGTCCGTTTGTCTCACCTTTGGTGGTGCAGGTTTTGGTGGAGTCCTCTCCGTGGAGACAGGGGTCTGATCACGCCCCTGTGACGACCTCGTGGTGACAGGTCTCGTTTGTAGTCTCGCCCTCCAGGTGACGTGGGTCGAGAAAGCGGGGACAGTAAGGACAGGTGCCCCCTCCTTGGGGAGGCGTCCCGTCTGTATCCTGCGGCAGACAACAGGTCTCTCTTGGGTGAAATGTCCCGCCGCGGTGAAAGGTGCCGGGCACGAGGTGAGAGGTCACGGCGTGGGGAGAGGTACCGACGTGCCGAGGGTGAAGAGGACGGAGAGTTTGGTGACGGACACCCAGAGAGGTCCAGTCCAGGGGAGGACAAGCGGGAGGAGGGAGAGGAGAGGTCAGGGAAGTCTTCATCCATAGACGAGGAGGGGGGAACCAGCAACCTAGTCCCTTGTGCCTTTTTCAGGCCACGCTGGAAATCCCTGGGCTGCTCCTTCTCTGTGGGATCAGTGGGCGGAGCCTGTGCCGTGATGTGGATGCTCGGCACGGTGGTGAAGAAGCCAAACAGGGGCGGTTTGAGATCTGGGGTGGAGTAGGTGGACGGGTGTGAGGAGGCCACGGCTGTGATGGACAGAGCAGGAAGGACGAAGGGCTGTGGACTGGTGGAGCGTGAACGAGTCTTTGGAGTGGAGTCACCATCGTAATCGTCCTCCTCATCGTCCTCGTCCTCCACCTCCTCACCGTCCTCCTCGCCACCCTCTGAATCATCAGCGTCAGAAAACTGGTGCTCAGTTACGGCTCCTCTGGAGGTCTTCTCCGACAACCTCTGACCTTCATCTGCCATGTCTGAAAGATGGAAGGAAGAGGAACAAGAAGATGGAGAACAATGAATGAATGGAGGAGGAGGAGGAGGAGGAGGAGGAGGAGGAGGAGGGGGGGGAGGGGACGAGGATAATGAAGGGGAAGAATTTCCATCACCTCCTTCGTCCACCTCCGTGTCTTCTACTGAGGACATGGACACACCCAACTCCAGACACTTCTTCATATGTGCCTTGGACTTCATGTGCTTTGTCAGGTTTCCTGCAGGACACACACACACACACACACACACACACACACAGTTACAAACGATCCATAAAGACTCGTTCTGGGCCTCAGTCAGGTTCTGTTCATGGTTCTGATCATGGTTCTGATCATGGTTCTGATCATGGTTCTGATCATGGTTCTGATCATGGTTCTGATCATGGTTCTGTTCATGGTTCTGTTCATGGTTCTGTTCATGGTTCTGATCATGGTTCTGTTCATGGTTCTGATCATGGTTCTGATCATGGTTCTGATCATGGTTCTGTTCATGGTTCTGATCATGGTTCTGATCATGGTTCTGTTCATGGTTCTGTTCATGGTTCTGATCATGGTTCTGTTCATGGTTCTGTTCATGGTTCTGTTTTCACACCTTTTGTCTTGAAGGCGAAGTTGCAGAACTTGCAGACGTAGGGCCTCACGTCGGTGTGGGTTCTGATGTGTTTCTTCAACATGCTGGGCTTCTTACAGCGGATTCCACACTCCTCGCAGATGTACTTCCCTCGACCGCGACCGCGGACGTAAACGTAGTCTTCGTTGGACTTGTACCTGGGACACAGGTTGGTCTGGATCAACAGTCATTCATTTAAAAAACACTGGATGAAAAACACGTGATGACGTGACGAGGTTTACCCTCATTAACCCCCCCCCCACACACACACACACACACACACACACACTGTCCGCTGTCTTTTTACTTTGCTAATCAATATTTAGCTTTCACGCCCAGTTCGACCTGTTTGTTTTTTAAAGTACTGGAATATTCCCAGAAAAAAAGGTGGATTTTTCTTCCCTAGTTTTTGGGTTAGGTTTAGTTTTGTGTGAGTTTCTGTTCAACATACCCGCCTTCGAAGATTTTTATGCGTGTCGGTTCATTGACAGGTTGTTTGACTGGGACCTCCTTCTGCTGCTCCTGCTCCTCCTTCGAGTGATCCCACGACACCACCCCCTTCATCTTCCTCCCAAATTCCACCGGCATCAGCTCCGGCTTTAACTGCAAACGAGAAAAGAACAGAGTGAAGAGCAAAGGGACAGGAAAGAAACCAGCGACACGGGGTTCCCATGGTTTTCTCATGGTTCCCATGGTTCCCATGGTTTTCTCATGGTTCATGGTTCCCATGGTTTCCCATGGTTCCCATGGTTTTCTCATGGTTCTCCTCCATACCTGGTCGAACTTCAGCTTCCAGGCCACAGACGACACCAGTTTTCCAGAGCTGGGCGGTGACAAGACTGCTGTGGTGTAGACCAGATCTGTGTTTCTCCTCTGTTTGGACCTGAGCAGAGCCAGTGAAGTCTTGGTGCTGAGGTTCAGAGGGTTGGGATTGTAGGAGTTGATGGACCAGGAGCTGTAGACGGAGCTGTGCAGACCAGCCGGTGAGCTGTTGGGTTTTGTGTATTTCAGGAAACACCAGCTCACTCTGCTTATTGTGCGCAAGCTGGGGAACTGGAAATACTGCGACACATCGACCACGTCGGGTCTGACGGGGGTTTGACCAGGTGCACGTTGCTTTGTGTTGTCACCATCTTCTGCATTGTCTGAGGAGATCATGGACTGGGGACTGGAACAAGGCTCCGGACCTGAATCATCCACTTCAAGCTCCTCTGGTGAGTCCCGCCCACCGGAGGGGCAACGATCAGTGACGATCTGGAGAGGAGGGGTGAAGCTCTCGGCACAGGGTACGTCAGGAGGTTGGGGGGCTGAGGAGCGGACGGGAATGGTAATCCTGGTTGCAGCGTTGTCATCCTTAGAGCCGTCACTCTTGGTCTGGTCTTGCCGACCTTTGCCACACCCTTTCTCATGTTTACCGCTCCTCTCGGTTCCACTCAGTTCCACAGCACTCATCTCCTTCAGAATCTGTCCGTACATCCTCTCCTCCTTCACTCTTTTCTGCTGCTTGGTCTCAATGAAAAGCTCCAGAGAACTGGTGGGGGAGAGCATGCGTTTACCCCCCCCCACGCTAGACCCCGATGCATCAGTGGTGGATATGGTTCCTGATGTTAGTGACAGTGGGATCCCAGTTTTCAACTGTTGCTGCGGCAGTGACTCCGAGTCATTGCACGGTGGGTAACGCAGCGCTGAACCGTCTGTCTGTCCCAGGAACAGTGACAGGTTGAAACCTGACCCACTTTTACCTCTCGAGGGTTTGGTGGCACCAGTCATCGGAGACATGTTGCTGCCAGAAAAGGCTAAGCCTACCCCCCTCCCTCCACTGCCCTGGTTCACTATCAGCTGGCTAACACTGGTGTACATAGCACTACCAAAGGTTGGCACGTGGGTTTGGATCCTCACAGGAACCAGCATGCCTGGTTGAAGCTGCTGTAGGTTCATGGTACTGGAGACACCTGGCAGGGACAGGTTGTGCTGCTGCTGCTGCTGCAGCAGCAGCACAGGGCTGAACATCTGAGAGCTTACATTTTCAGATTTTCCATCGTGTAACTGTTGATCGTGTGTTTGCTTTATGGCATGAAGTGGCTGTTTCTTGTTTGGTGAGTGTCCAACCAGGGTTCCTGGAGATCTCATTTGAAGTTTCTGACCTTGGCCCTGGGTCGGCTGCTGTCTTGTTGTTTGTCCACATTCTTGGCTCCAGAACAGGCCTGCTGCTTGCTGGTAGGAGAGGAAGGTGGAGCCCCCCAGGTATGGCTGGATAACATCCTTATTTGAGATCTCATGAGCAGGATTTTCAGACTCAGATGACGATCCTTGGGGCTGCAGGCGGTACTGTGGAGATCTGTTAGAAAGACAAAGAGTTTAATTTATTCCTTCAGTCGTTAACAGTTACAAGTCACTGTGTTGAAAGGTGGACTGCACCTGCAGTAAAGCGGTTCATCCTGCAGGCTGTCTTCACTCATACTCTGTTGAAGATGTTGCTGGTGGTGGCGCTGAAGTCCTACAACAGTGCATCACAGAAAAGCACATGAATAACAAAAATAACTAAAAGAAACGGTAACATTCTAAAGTACTAGTACTAAGTACCGGAGCTACTGCCAGCTCTCTTGGTTCTGCTGGAAACGTCACTGCTCATGTGGGGAGATCCGGTTGGTCCGGACCACGCCCCATGGTCTGGAGCCTCCTGTTTGACCAACATCTCAACGCTTTGCTCAGGAGTGACCACCTCGGAATAAACACTCAGTGAAACCTGCAACGTGTGGTCAGATGTTGTCAGTGCAAACACACAAAGTCTGCATCCTACCAACAGAGGCCAGAGACAAAATACATCGTTAACACTTTTCCTTCATTTTGTTACCTGTCGGACAAGGTATCCACGCCGGCGCTCCTTCTTTGCAGAGACACTGGAGTAAACCTCCCCTTGTCTAGAGGGGGACAAACTTCCATAATCAAAAGATTTGCTGCGCATTTCTGGAAGCTCCAGAGGTAAAGTGCATGGTGCCTGCTCCGATGAAGATCTCCTCATCTCTCTCTGGTGGTGATGGCTGGAATGACCACTGCCAGGCACTGTCAGAAACTCAGACTGCTTAGTCCCACCACCAGAAGTTGAGAATTCATCCTTAGGCAAAGGAAAACATTTTCAATTCTAAACCTCTTGAAAAGATGCAAGAAATAAAGGTAACAAACTGCTGACGAGTCAGACTTTTGGATCTAGGGTACATAAGAGAGCTACCTGTTTGGTAGGTGAGAGGGACTTGAGGCCTTCATCTCTATCGAAGGACATGGAGAAAGAAGAGGAGTGGGACAGGTTGCTCTCTTGACTGGGACTACGAGAAAGACTTGTGCAGGTGGACTCGAAGCTGGATTCCCCAGATGAATGTTCCATGTCCGTCAAGCGCAGCCTCTTCTTCTTGGGGGGCAGCTTTTCTGAGGGCATCTGGGAGAGTGTGTCACTTCTCTGTGGCAGCTGAAACTCCTCACCGTGCTGCTGCTGCTGCTGCTGCTGATGATGATGGTGGTGTTTGTCCACCTCCTTAGTTGATGGAACTTCTGCATCTTTCTCAGGCTTGTCTGGCTCCTCTGTCACCCTTATCTCAGGAACCTGAATGTTGGGCTGTCGTACCAGCTTGTGCGGATTGTTGTATGGCTGACCTGGCGACGGAGCTGCAGATGAGGATGACAAGGACGCCAAGTCGCTGTCACTTTGCAGCGGTTGCTCCATGCTCTCTGTCCTCATTAGGGCAGACTCAGGACTTAGGGCGTCTTCGTAGATTTCTGTGTCAGACTGCTCTGAATACTGACTGGGGAAACCTTTATCTAAAGACTGATGTCCTGGTTGCTCAAAGGATTCCGATTTCTCGAAGGAATTTGGTCGGCTGAGTGAGTTGGTGTGTTGGATTACTGATATGACATTCCCAGCTGCCTTCCTGCCCTCAGAGTCGGGAAACAACGAGATATCCTCAGAGCACATACTGGCACAAGTGTCAAAGCTGTCTGATTGGCTATGAGCACTGAACGAGCCCTTTCCTGTTGGGGTGCCTCTGGATCCGTCTAGACTACTTTGTTTGAACTCGAAGTCTCCTGTCATCTCCACTGACCCACTACAGCTGCTGTCGTAGAGTCCAGGACAGTCCTCCTCATCACCTTCACTGTTTTCTATGTGCCTTTTTCTCCTGGCTTGTTCTGACATACTAATCTTAGTACCATATGAACTGAAAGCCATGTTCTCTGGGAGTCCTGGACCACGTTCACCAATTTTCATGACCAGAGATGAAGTTAAACTCTTAGGGAAGTGTCCATAGATCTCTGTCTCCCCGACATGGGCCTCTGCAGCTTGTTCAAAGGCTGCCTGTCTGATCAGGCTTTTACGAAGCCCTTGTGGGTAGAACACATCATCCGATGACATCATCTCATCGAAGGAGTGACTGCCCCGAATACTTGGGGGTACGCTCAGGTTAGGAGGGCAGGAGGTTGGCATGGAGTTACTCCGAATTAGGTGTCCAGATTCTGAGGGAGGCTCCAACAGCCCTGTACTGCTTTGGCAGGGACCGGTTGGGTACTGTTTGGGATCTCCAGAGACTCCGACATCCCCTTTAAAACACAAATGATCTTTAGTCATTTTGCCGTCCAGAACTGCACCAGATTGCTTTAAATTAGCCAGGCTGGCTGGGTTAGCACCTGCCATTCCTACTGCCATGGACTGTCTAGGTCTGGTGTTTGGGGGATAGTAAGTCCGACCAAACATGATCTCTTCATACGTCTTGACATTAGTATTTGGAGGGCTGATTTGCTGCTCTGCGCTCTCTGAACGTGAGAAGTAGCCAGAGTCCGTGCTGCCTTTGCTGTGAGGACTCAGAAAGTTGAGCGACTGGGTGACGGCACCGTCGATGTCCTGGCCTTTCTTAACATTCGGCTTCCGTGCCAAACCTTGCTTTAAGGAGGGGGAATCCTCCAGAGAATGTGATCTCCTGCCAAGCTGTGATGACAGCATGTGATGTGGATGGGATACTTTCATGTCCTGAAAGGGTGGACGGTCCAGGCCTGTGGACGGATCTCCTCCAGACTTAGGAACAATTAGGATAGGCACTTTGATGTTTCCCATTGGTAGCTCCTCAGCAGAGTCCGCATATGCTGGTTCAAAACCACCTGTACAGTTGGAAAGAGATAGATTGAGTAAACCACGGGCAAAACTGATGTGAATCTTTGTAAATGATCAATTACCTGTATGTTTGTCGGCCTTGAAGGAGATCTGAGGAATGGAGCGGTCTTTGTCCGTCAGCATGGTAGAACCGTCGACACCTTCCTCATCAGTGTCAGTGCTCTGCTCTCCGTCTGAGTGAACTTCAGCTTCACCTACGGGTGACACCTGGTCCGTGTCCCCAGCGCGGGCTGCAGCTAGCTCTGAAAATGGTACGAGTCCTGCCTTGATGGCATGAGCGTGAGATTTGCGATGCTTGTAAAGGTTGCTCTTGGTTTTAAAGGAAAACCCACAGGGTACACAAGGATATGGTCTTTCTCCAGTGTGTGAGCGGATGTGCTTCTTCAGAACACTGGGTTTAGCACAAGCTCGGCCACAGTAGTGACAGATGTACTTACCGGGCTTTTTTGGCTTCTGCTCCTTTTTGCTGTATCCTTCGTCTAAAGACTCGGGGACTGACTGGGAATACTGTCCAAAAGAACTGGGTAAACTGGGGGACTTCTGATGTGGAAACCTCCCAGTGCCAGCTCCATGAGGGTGTGTATGTCCTGGGTGTCCTACAGGGTAAAGGTCATCAGAGGGTAACTGTCCCGCAAAAGGCCAGGCGTGAGGCTCCAGGCCTGGCTGCGGTTTGGCTCCTGAGAGGAGTTGTTCAGATTGAGGGTGCTGGGGGTATGGCTGATCCAGGTAGGTGTATCCTCTTGGGAACCCCTGAGCAAAGTGTCCTTGGGAATCTTGAGGGTGCAGGCCTCCCATGTCCCCAACGGCAGAGGGTCCAGACAGCAGCTTTCCAGAATTTCCTGTAGTTGCATACTTCTGCTGAGGTGCTAGTCCCACACTGGCTCCGCAGGGTAAACTTTCGCGGTGTCTTACTGGTGGTTCAGAAAATGTGCCCCTTTTAGTGGACGCAGAGGGCTCGGACTCCCACTTCCTTTGCAGAGTGACTTTTTCCTTCACTGTTTCCCTGTTGGACAGTTTGTGCCTTGGGGGAGTGGATTCATGGGCCTCCATTTCCACAAAGACCTTGTGTTGGTCCCAGATGTTGGACGGAGAGGGTGGTTGGACAGATGCTGGAGGGTTACCAGTTCTCAAGTCTACTAGGCATGACAGTTGAATCTTGGGGGAGTGTGGACAAGTTTACAGAAACAGGAAGTGTCCTTCCATTGCCTAAACAGACTGTCTGTGGGGCCGGGCTGGAAACAGTGGGTAGGAAGTGGAAATAAAACGGTGACTAACATTAGCTCAGTTTGTAAACATGTTTCCGTTGGTGTTGTGCGCCGCTCTTCTGTCCAGTTAAACCAACAGCAGAGGGGTCCTTGGACATTCTGAAAGATTGAAGAAGGAAACGACTAACATCGATTAACAGTTTTAAAACCACGACGACGACGACAACCAGGACCAGGACCAACCTTCTGGGCTAAAGTGCTGGTGGATCTCAAGTTTGTCTTCAGCTGATTTGAAGGTTCTTCAGACGATCCTCACAAAGACCTGCGGCCAAAACAAAGGAAACACTCGAGTTAGCTTGTTCGATGTGGGTCGTGAGTTAGAAGTAGTTCCATCAAAATCTATCTTCCTTCTGAAGTCGGTAACATTCCAGTTGGAAGGAACCGTTCAAGTTCAAAACAACATCAGACTTGACTTTTTAACATCAGTCTATCGTTGACTTAAACATGTTTTTTATCCTTATTTTGATTTTTTCTTTTCAAAAGGAAACGCAAGAAGTTTTTTCAGAAGTTTTTAAAAAACAGTTCCACAAAAAAGACAGAAAGAAATTTGATTACGTCGCAGCAGACGTGTCGTTTATTGGATTAAGATGCTGATTCACAGCAGTGTCACAAATTGACCACATGAGGCAGCAGTGTACCAACCCACGCCTCCTCGAGCACTGATGGAAATAAAAAAAAAGGAGGAACAGAACAAAGACGCGGCGTGTTTTGGTTTGAGGCCGTTTTCTTTTCTTTTTCTTTTCAGATTCATCGTCGACAGATGACGGCGACTCAGAAATCCTGAAAATCTCCCTTTAAGTTCCTGGTCCTGCAGAGAAAACATGAAGGTATGAGGAACTTGTTTAAATGTCACCGATTGCTCAGTTAGTTCCTTCACACTGGAATCTAACTGTGCTTTTTGCTTTCTGGTTCCTTTCCGTCCTCCCCCCCCCCTCCCCCCCCCTCCCTCTCCCTCCTCCACTCAGTGAGTCACTGATGCAGAACAAACCCACGCTGCTCCAAAAAAGACACAAAGGTTTTATAAATAGTACCGTGGAAGTGACGTCGGAGAATCATGTGTGTGTGGGCGTCAAAAAGGCCGAGACCCGAGACAGCGGCGCTGCAGCGTTAGCTCGCCCTCCTCCTCCTCCTCCTCCTCCTCCTCCTCCTCCTCCTGCTGCTGGAGTTAGTACCGGGGACTAAAGGAGGCACGAAGCAGTCGGTGCTCGCTGTCACAAGGACAGGTTGTAGGTCCAGTACCGAATACCAGGGGACCCTGGTGTTGTTTGGACCAGTACCAGAAAATGGTCACTTCACCAGGTACTGTCGGTGACTAGAACCAAATAAAAACAGTTCTAATGTTGGTACTGCTCAGGAGTCACAGACTAATTCTGCCCGTGAACATCACACTGGTCCAGAAACAGTTCCACTGATGAAAGAGTTCTGGTGACGAGGAGCTCAGGAACAGAGTGGCGTCAACAGGAACTGTTTGTCTAAAAACTGGAAGTTAGAACCGATGAAGTCCTGACAAGGTCCAGAACAAGGCCTGGGTCCTGCGGTACTTAATGCTGCATCTTACACACACACACACTTTTTATTTCCTCGTCTCAGGGAAGAGTTTAAACAAACTCCCTGACAATCTGATCTCAACATGAAAACACTCCCTCTCTCTCTCTCTCTCTC